CGCTGTTGTTTCTGTTGTCGCATTTTTGGGGAATAGGTAAATACAGGTAAGTGGTTCAAAACTCAAAAGCTACAGAGGCTATGTGCCGGACACTCCCTCCCACGCCAGCTGCTCATCACCAGGCTCCTGTCGCGGAGGTGGTCAGCAGGCCCAGTTTCGTCAGCAGCATCCCAAGCCAGTGCTTACATCATCTCCCTCTCACACAAATAGAGTATGCTGGGTGCAATCTGGCATGCTGCCTTTTTCACTTAACAGCATATATTGAAGATAATTCCATCAGGACACGAAGAGCATCCTCAGCCTTTCCTTTTTTTTTTTTTTTTTTTTTAGACTGCAGATGGTCTAAACTAGGGGTGGACAAACTTTTTCTGTAAAGGTCCAGATAGTAAATATTTTAGGCCTTGTAATCCATATGGTCTCTGTCATATATGCTATTTTTTTTTTTTTTAAAGAAAAACATTTCAAGATGTAAAAACATCCTTATCTCATAGGTTGTACAGGCCACATTTGGCCACGGACTATCGTTTGCTGATGCTTAGACCCACAGGCTTTTACCTGGCTGCCCTGTACCTAGCCTTCTCCCACGCTGGCCTCCTAACCATTCTGAAAGAGCTAGCTTCCCACCGACACACCTCATGCTGCCCCTGCCCACCCGCCTCTCCCAACAGGGGGAGTTCAGACTGCCCGGTGGTGCCCACAGTGCCCTTCCCAATCCACGCACTTCTTACCATGCCTACTGCGCTGGTCTGCGCCCCTGTCAGCTCAACTCCCACAGCGCCTTCCTTGCTCTCCTCTTTTTACAAAACCTCTTGCCCCCAAATCCAATCCTGCTCCACAGCCCTAGGGGCCTTTTCCCACGCAGATCCCATCTGGGAACCTCCAATGGCTTGTTGCTGCCCTAGAAGGAAGTGACCTTCCTTATCATTGTCTACAAGGTGGGCCTGTTCCGCCTGGCCCTCTTGTCCAAGCTCATTGCCACACATCTCACTCTCTCCCCCAAGCCACGCTGACTTTTCTGCTCCGCAAACAAGCCAAGCTCATTTCTGCCTCTGTGGGTGCTGTTCCCTTGACTGGCTCCTTGGAGGTCAGTCCCGGTTCAAACACCACCTCCTAAGTGTGGCCTTCCCTCATCTCCCAACCTAAGGGGCCGCTCTGCTGGTCCTCTCTTGCATCATCATGCTCTACTTTCCTCACAGCCTATGGCCACCTAGAATTGTACCTCGGTTTGTCGTCGCAGTCTCTCCGCTCCCCTAGAGCGTGTGAGCATCCCCAGTGCCTAGCACATTCCTGACACTACGAACCTTTTGGTTAAACAGCGGAAGAATTTCAGCCCAGTTCACCTTTCCCGGTGGATCTCTCCTCACTCTTCACCTTATAGTTCCATTGACCTCACCAATCGCTAACCATGAATTACCCTCTTAAAGTTTTATACCTTTGCACATATTGTTCTCTTGGTCATGTTCTCCTTCTCTGAGAGACAAACTCCTTCTCACCCATCAATACCCAGCTCAAATGTTACCTCTTCTAGGAAGCTCTTATTCTTTCCTCTCAGAGCATTTTGTTCAGACACTGGGCCATAATGATTTATTTATTTACTTTTACACCCTGATTAACCCAAGGATTTTATATATTTTCTAGTGACCTGGTGCATGGATTCATGCACACTGAAAGAAAATTAATTACCCTGTTTCCCCAAAAATAAGACAGTGTCTTATATTAATTTTTTCTCCCAAAGTTACGCTAGGTTTTATTTTCAGGGGATGTCTTATCTTTCCATGTGCTAGGTCTTATTTTCGGAGGATGTCTTATTTTCGGGGAAACACGGTAGAAAGTGGCTGGCAGGGCAGGATTGGACAAGATGGGCCAGGTGTGCCCTGGAGCCAACCTCCTACGGTCCCTCCCTGGCCAGCTACACCTGGGATGGCACTGTGGTTCAAAGGGTGTCTGCAGAGTGAGTGGGGGAAAGATCAGACATCCCCTTAAAATTTGGCCTTTGGGGATTGGGCCAAAACTGGCCTTCTGACAACCCCCGAGGGGTCCCAGTGTGTGAGAGGGCACTCTGCAAAGATGCTGTCATACAGGGTGTGAAGAACAAATGCAAGTGTGCAGTAAACTAGATTTGGGGCTGACAGTGCCCCAGCAACAACATAAGCCATGGCCGAAGGTGGAATCTTGTGGCCCCATGAGGAATCGGGCCCTTCCTCTCTGGTTTCTGGGTACGTTACCCGAGAACCACCACTGTTAAGTCATTGCAGCTAGGCAGCTCCTGTGTTAGAGTGTCTGCCCTCTGATGGTCAGTGCATATCATATCAACTGGTTGGATGAACACTTAGCTTATTAGCCTTTTATATACATAGATTTATATGGTAAGTATGAACATATAATATAAATACAATAGAAGCACTTAGCTCTGTAATTCCCCTAATAACCCTAACGAGGCAGGTACTATTATTATCTGTACTTTGCAGATGAGGAAACTAACGTGAGGTTAGGTAACTTGTCCTGGTGAATCTGGAATTCACTACCAGGTCGTTTAGCAGCCGGCCGGCAGTGGCTCTCTGTCCTTGAGCTCTCAGCATGGCAGGGGAAACGGATCTGTCCTGTTTCCCTGTGTGAGATCTGGGGGCCGTAGCTTTGCTCAGAGAGGGATCAGTTGGGACTCTCTCACTTCCCTGTTGCAAGGTGCTCCCTTGTGGGGGGCACAGATGTCCCTCTGCCAGCCAGATGGAGAGGCACAGCGACCAAGCTGCCCTCCACACACCTGTGACTGTGCCGTCACCAAGGGCAACCAGATGTCCTTGGGGCCTTGCTCCTGCTGCCACATGCTGCTTATCCATGTGGACATAAGCCGCTCTGCCAGCTCACCCCTGAGCTAATGCGGAGGGACCACAGGGCTCTGGGAAGGAGGGTGAGAGCCCAGAGGCAGAGGGAGACAAGGGCAGAAAGAGCTGCTGCTTTTTTATTCTTTCCTTTAGCGATTGATTTTTCCCAGCTTCATGAGGCATCACCGACAAATAAATCCTATATATTTAACACGCACGACGTGAAGATTTAAGTATATATTGTGAAACGCAGAGCAAAGGAAACAATTACCCAGATGAAAAGGCAACCTCTGGAAGGGGAGAAAATGTTCGCAAGGTGTATATTTTTAAGGGGATAATATCCAAAACATATAAGGAACCCTCACAACTCAGTAGGAAAAATTAAAAATAAATCCTGGTTAAAAAATAGACAAAGGACTTAAATAGGTATCTTTCCAAAAAAGACATACAATTGACCAATAGGTATATGACATATATTCCACCCCTTTACTCTCCTTTAGGCGAAGAGACCTTCCTTGCATTAGCATGTTTCCGAAGTGCAGGTCCCTCTGCCACAGTGTGTCCTGGGATGCGGAGGAAGAGTGTGCTAGGCCGGGCCCCTCTGATGGCTCGGTAAACTTTTCAGCTCACTGGGAAAGTTCTGGCTAGAGAAGTGGGTCTCAGACGTTAGGGCAGTGCTACTCACAGTGCGGTCCTTGGGCCAGCAACATCAGAATCTCGGGGAGCTCGTTAGAACTGCAGGTTTGAATTTTAACACCATCTCCCAGGAAATGCTTAAGCATATTAAAGTCTGAGAACACCCACCTAGGTGCCTGATCAAAATGCGAGCTTGGGACTCCATGTCTTAGAAATTTGAATTGACTTGATCAGGATGAGATACAGGTACCACCTACTTTTTCTTTCTGCCTTTTTTTTTTTTTTTTTTTTTTTTTGCCACTCCGGTACAAAAGCAGAGCAGGTGCTATATTTGGACAGTCCTGAGATCAGATCTCAGCTCTGCCACCTACAAGCTAGGTAATCCTGGGTAACTGCTTCATCCTGCAAAGCTTTAGCGTTCTCAAATACACCTAACATGGAGATGCTAAACTACTTTAGCTTCGCTGTGGGCTTTTATTTTTAAAAATATATTTTTACTGATTTCAGAAAAGAAGGGAGACAGAGATAGAAACATCAATGATGATAGAGAATCACAGATTGGCTGCCTCCTGAATGCCCCCCCACTGGGGATCAAGCCTGCAACCTGGGCACGTGCCCTTGACCAGATTCGATCCTTGGACCTTTCAGTCCACAGGCCGATGCTCTATCCATTGAAATGAACTAGGGCTAGGGTTCGGCTGTGGGCTTTAAAGGTGAGAACACATAGAAAGTGCTCAGCGCCAAATCTGTGGCACAAGGTCAAACAGCTATGCCCTGGCTGTGCTGCTGATTGGGGCATACAATACTGATTACTTTCAGCTGCCAGAGGCCAAACAGGACTCACTGAGGTGTGGAACCTGTGGTTTCTCTGTTATATAATCCTGACCTTAAAGACAGAGAAGGTGTCAGACCACTTTCTGTCAAAAATTACCATGCATTATGAATCACCTGGGAAGCAAGCTAAAGATGCTGCTTCCCAGGCGTTGTTTTTCATCAGATACAGGACTTCTATTTTTGTTGTTGTTCGTAATCCTCACCTGAGGATATTTTTTCCCCATGGATCTTTAGAGAGTGGAAGGGAGGGAGAGAGGGGAAGAGAGAGAGAGGAACATCAATGTGAGAGATGTGCATCGATCGCCTCCCACACATACCCCCAAGCGGAGCTGGGGATTGAACCTGAAACCCTGGTACATTCCATGGACCGAGAATCCTTTTCCTGATCCTTTGGTGCATAGGCTGAAGCTCTAACCACTGGACACACTGGAGGAGGCGGGATCTATATTTTTACGATTTGATGCATGAGTCCTCCAACCTCACCTCGAGAAACGCTGGTTTAGAGAACATGTGTATTTATTCAGTACCTGGAGAGTGTGAGGCACACAGGGTCCTGGGCTGGTGCTGGGAGGCACACACTGGAACAAGTAAGACCTGGCCTGGGTCCTCCCCGCGGAGAGCCGGGCTCCAGGGAGAATGCGGGCCCCATGGACATCACACACAGAACAAAGCCCAGCAGCCCCGCAAGGCCAGGACGAGAAGCCGTACCTGGGCCTCCACAGCTTCAATGCCGTGGGAGAGGTTGCCGTTTTGCACGGGCTCTGAAGCATCACTGGATGTCGTCATTTCCACTTCCGTGCTGGTGCTGTTGGGCAGCTCGATTTTTTCTGTGGCATAATTGAGACACACACAAACAAAGCAAACGGCGTCAATGGGGTAAGGACCTTACTGGAAAGAACCCCTAACATACTTGCCCAGGGACACGACTGGGGGTGGTTTCTGGGTGTGGGGGGGAGATAAGACTGGGGTTGCACCACGCGGCGAAGGTGTGTGCCATTCCTCCCCGGGCTTCCTAGCAGACCCAGCCCTCCTGTGCCAGGCCAGCAGCGCAGGCACCAGCCAGGCCTGCCTGCCTTTGGTGGGAGGAGGTGAAAAGCTTCCCAGACTCGCTGGCCATACTGGGTATAGAGTCTCAGACTTTGGGAGGCCACAGAGCTGTGTGGTTCAGTGTCAGGGTGGCCAGGAGCACCAGAATACCCATCAGTATCAGACACGAAAGTGGCAGGCTGCTCACAGAGTATCAAATGCTTGCCTTTCCGGCAACCTCAGAAGAACCAACAATTTCTCTCACTGGTAAAACATCACACAAAATAATTGGAGAGGCACACAAAAATTGTTGGAGTTGAAGTGGCCACATTTTGGAAATCATAGGGAAATGTTCGTTCGTTTATGTATTTACTTGTGAAATATAGAGGCATAAAATATGTATATACGGAAAGCCCCAGAAATTCAAATTTATTTTATCTTCCCATGTTTTTGGTAGTGACAGTGACATGCATGGAACGATCTGGTGTGTGTAGCTACGCCAGTTCATCCCAGAAGCTTGGCCCCGTTATTTACTAGTAAACTAAAAAATGCTAAGCATGGGGGAATAGAAAAACTCTGCTTGGGGGAGTCTATTGCCTGAAGTAACACAACTTTAGGATAGGCCTGCAATGGTCAAACATGACCCTAGCAACACAGGGTGCTGGGTACCAAAGTGGAGTTCAGATGCCCAAGAAAGACATGAACAGACGAGAAGAAACAACCTCCCAGGCACGAAACTTATCCCAGCGCGTCTCAGCTAATGCCGTGCTTTCACATGGCAGGCTGGGGTCTCAGCACCAAAGAACGTGTGAAAAACACTTGGGACTCACTTCGAAATAATTTTGGAGATACGCTTTGTAACTATTTATTTTAGTGACAAAGTTGTTCAGAGACCCAGTCTGCACAGGAAGCATCCTGGGAGTTATGTGTCCTACCGTCTCAGGAAGGGTTAAACCCAAGTCTCAGGTCAGCCAGTCATTAGGAGAGGGACCAGGACGGAGCCCAGGCATCTAAGTCTTGTACTGCAAGCTGCCTCATTCCACAAAAATCAACAAGTGGTGCAGGAAAACAGCTTGTATAATCGAACTTAAATATCAGGGGCAAAACTCAGCCTATGCAATTAGACGTTTGTGCTGTGGCTTTGCATTTTTAGAATACAAAAGCAAGATAGGTTAATTCCAAACAATTAGTCCAAGTTCACAGAAGCATAAACAAGCAGGGGGGGGGGGGGGGGAAGGTATAATTCATAATCCCAACCCCAAGAAGTAGCTATTATCCATATTTTAGTGTATGTCCTTCCAGCTTTTTTTTTTTTTTTTCTTCTTCTTCATACCCAATAGCATCTTGACTGTTTCTTGGCCAAAGATTTCCCCTGAGCTGTACGTCAGGTAGCAGGGGAGACAGAAAGTTTTCCAAGGAGTCACATTATTTTGAATGCAGCACTGTTGAATTTTGTCTGTAGATAATTTTAGTATCTTGGGCAATGGCATCATTTTCAGCACAGATCCAGATTAGGTTAAATTTAGTTTGCATTTAGAATTGGAGAGCTCTATTACAGTTACAGACAGGGGAGGAGGAACAGGTTCCAAGCTAAGATAAGATGCCTGAATGTCCTGATCTAGCCACCGGGGAGCTCAGAGAAAGTCAGCAGAAAAGACTTGGGCTAGTGGCATTGCTGAATTCCCGAGAAAGGGGAGGCTGAGGCACCTGGCAGGGACTCTGCCACTTGGTTAGGAGTCACCAAGTAAACCAGCTGGCAATTCAGTGGGTGTGCTGTATGCAATGTCATTCGTGTAAAATTTGGTTACCAGGCTAGAATTTCAGAACAGGCGCTCTCTCACTTCCTGTTAAATAGCAGTGATACGTGTGTGTGTGTGTGTGTGTGTGTGTGTGTGTGTGTGTCCTCTTTATGTGGCGTCCCTCAAGTGAAGTGATTTTTTAGTCTTCAAGAGAGATGCCTGGTTTAGGAGCTGGCTTTATTTCAGGTTTCTCATAGAATCCCTTTCTTCTAGGAGTTCCCCTTAGGCAGGAGACAGAGTGTCTACCCAGGGCCTGTACCCACCAGGGTCCCTGGACTCCGCCCGCCTGACACTCAGGACAGGCTGAGCTGCAGGCGTCGGTGTCCGTGCGGAGTCAGGGCGCACTGGGTCCTGCTCTCTGCTCCCCTCCACGCCCTCTGGGAAGGGCACTGGGCCAAGTCTCCCTGCACTCACCCACGTGATTGGCAGCCCCATTCTGCCTCTCGTTCTCATCCACCTGGCACTTCTTCTTGGCAATCTTGTGGAGAATGGAAGCCTTTTCTCTGAACCTCCCTGAAGCAAGAGAAAGTGGTGGGAAGGAAAGAGGATGAGGAGGAAAATGGAGAGAGGCCTGTGGCAGATGGCGAAGCAGTGGCAGAGCAGGCCCGCGGCTTCTTCAGGCATGCTGCATTGTGACGGCGCCCTCACCTTCCTGTCCAGTCCCTGCGGGGAGGGCGCTTTCTTACCTGTGTGGATGCTTCAGCTCACTTCTCTATTTGAGAATCTCAAGCTGCCAGATCACAGACCAAAGGTTTCCCTGGGATCGCTTCTCTCCCTCCCAATTGCTTACAAAGCACAGATCCTCCCCAAACTCCCCCTGCTGCGAGATCCAAAACAACTCCAAAGACTCAGAGCGGTTCTGGAGGCTCAGCCACATCTCTGGGAGTAAATGCTCATCCCAGACATGGGTTGACAATGGGAAGTCATGCCCAGGAATCCTTTGGTTTGAATTTAGTTTTCAGATGTGTATCATAATGAGCACTGCAGGATCTGAATGAGCATCAGAGCTTTCCAAATTAGCTGAGTCAGCTGCAGTTAAAGCATCAGTGAGGCAACTGATTCCATCTGGGGGGCTTTGGGGCAAGGAATGACCAACTGAGCACAGCAAGTGATGTCTGCTGGTGATGAGATGCATAGAGAAAGGTGCTGGAAAACATACCAGTCTCAAAGTAATCATTTTAAACAGCCGTACCACATGCACAATGCTTCATTTCTTTTACATTACTGACACAATTAACGGGTAAGTGCATGCAACAAGTAGAGAAAAAAAAAGCATGCAAAAAGTGTAGAGATTAGTGAACCAAAATACATTTTTCTTTTCTAATCCTTGAGTTTCCTCTGCTGTCCTTCCTTCCTCCCTCTACCCCCTACCCCCCAACCCCCCGGAACTTTCAAGGTACAAAGAAACCTTATTTTAAACTGATTATTGCTCTCTGGTTTGGTGGTTGGGTTCTTCAGCAGTGTATTAACAGGGGATCTCATTCTACTTTTCCAGTTATACCAACATCTAACCAAATCCAACCCCAAGTGTTTCTCTTCGAGAGTCTCCTAGGATGGGGCATGGCAGGTTGGCACCCACCATAGGCGGAAATCATGGGGTGTGGTCATAGTGGTGACTTGTGTGTGATTGGTTGGGAGTGCCCGAAGCTGTAAAGGAGAGTGAGGTCAGTTGCTTCCAGTGGTGAAAGTGACACAGGACAGAGCCCTTTCTGCTCACACGCTCCACTAGTCACAGAGGATGCCGTTAGGGTGGAGGAACCTGAGTCTCAGCAGTGAATGTGCTCCAGAGGAGCATTCACAGGAAGCAGAGGGACAACACTGGGTGGAGAAGAGGCCAGCCCGTGGCTGGGGCTTCGTGAGGCATGAGGAGGATGGGTTTGGTGATGGGCATGATGTTGAGGTTGAAGGTTGGCATTAGGTTCACCATGCTGCAAAGTTTCCTGAATTTAGTTGTTTCTATTTAATCTCCAAGGGGAAACTCTGGGAAGCAAAAATGGAAACAAAAGCAAGCCTGAGGACTAGGAAAAGGGAACAAGAAAGGAAAGAAAAAGGAGAGAAAGATAAATAATTCAAAGATGGAAGAGGTGGGCTAGGGGCTCTGACTGTCTGGAGGTTGCCCAGGAAGCATGGATGCAGGACCCTTTCCTGACTTCAGTCTCAACAGGGGACTTCTTGTAGAAGAAACTCGCAAGGAGTCCTTAGGCCATCTACAGAAAAGCCCGGAAGACAGAATCATCAGATGTTCAAACCTCAGAGGGAAGGAAGGAGAAGGAGGGGGGAAGAGGGAGAGATCAACCAAAGGACTTGTATGCATGCATATAAGCCTAACCAAGGGACACAGACACCAGGGGATGAGGGCATGAGTGGGGGTGGGGAGGGGGCAATGGGAGGATAAGGACACATATTTAATACCTTAATCAATTAAAAAAAAAGAAAAAGGAAAGAAAAAGAAAGCCCAGAAGAGAAAAAAGGAAGTTCTGAAACATTTTAGGAGACGATGCTTCTACTTATAAAACCGTTCTGTGGTCTTAGGATCCTTCTCTGAACTTGGAACAGTCAGCAGCATTATGACATAAAAGGTGATCAATAATTGCTATTTAAAACTTATATATAAAATAATAACAAAGCAAGAAAGCTTCCAAAAGAGGAAACAAATAAGCCTGTGGAAATGAAACCTGAAATTACCCAATTCAAGTAATGTCCCAAAGTCACAAATCCTGGCAGAGAGGCTGTTGACAGAAGCCAGCTCTTTGCCATATTGCTTGTGGTTACCGGAACCTTCTCAGCAAGAAATGATTATAGGAAATACCCAAAGCATGGAAGGGGTTGGCCACTCTGCGCCAGAAGACATCATGGCAATGGGCAATGGTCACCGTCATGCATGGGATGGTTTCCCCAAATTTTCTAAAGGAGGTCTGGGTAGGAAATGATTGCAGAATTGGGATTTTATAGGCTCTCAAACATTTTAACAGGTCATCTGGGGTTTTCTAGAGTGTCACCACTTTTCCCACGCACTCTATGCTACTGAAAGGTGGAAGGGACATGCCTGAGGCAAAGCTGCAGAGGCTGGTGGGAGAGTTAGCTTCTCCACCCCCTTCTTCAGCTGCTTAATTCAACCTTTGTCTCCGTGAGCCTCACTTATCACCATGCTGCACTCTGATTGCTGACAATGGCTGCTCCACAGCCGAACAGGACTTAACCTTAAAGACCAGTTTCTACATCAGCCGCAATTGCAGGTCCAGCTTTAGAATGGAGCACGCAGGGGAGCTCCTTTAGGGTGGTGGGGCCATGTCTGACAAAGCAAGGCGTGCTCACTCAGGACCAGCAGACACCCCTGGGGTCACCACTGGGCAAATGTCTTCCTCACTTTAGAAGAGACATTGTGAGGAAGAGGCTGATAGTATGAGAGTGAGCAGGGGCAGAAGCCATCACAGGACCTGAGATTCTCCAAGGGATCATTGGGGTCAGAAGGCACACACCTTTATCACCTGCTCAGCCTGAAGCCACAAGCTGGGGAGAACATCAGCAAGGTGTGTGTGTGTGTGTGTGTGTGTGTGTGTGATGGGGACGGCACAATGTTGTGATTGAGTGACTGTGACTTAAAAGCAGGTAGATCTGAGTTTATGCTTCACTTCTCTTCCTTGGCCTACTGGGTAAGTTTGGGTGAGTTCCTGAATATTTCTGAGTTTCAGTTTTCCTATTACATAGGGCTTCCGATGGCATTGGCTCATGAGTCAAATGCACAGTTTAAGTGAGAACCCGTGTAAGAGGCTTACCACGTGCCTGGCATGGAAAGAAATCTGTAAGTAAAAGGAAGAAGAACAATGAACTAACTAACACAAAGCTCTGGGGCAAGGGGGACATAGCCTTGAGTTGCTCTAAGAGAATCTTTGACATCTTCCCTCTCTCAGGCCACACTGGCAGGATTAGGGAATGAGCCACATCCTGACCTGGCAGTGTAAGCATCCTGGGGACCGTGTCGGATTGGGGTTCAGGTTTCAGTGTGTTCTCCAAAGTCAGTTCCAAAACTGATTAGAAAAGGAACCCTTTATATCTTCCTGAAACTGAGAAGGTCAAGGTGATGGAGCTGGCCTTTGGTGTTTCAAACACTGACACTTTGCAATCCTACAGAGGAAAGATGCTTTTCCCCATCCCCTGTGCAGGCGGAGATCAGGCAAGAAACCACTGCGGCCACACAATAGATTCAGGCAGGCTCCAAAGAACTTTTGATCTTTACCTTCCAGAGTTTTGTTTTAACTCATCTGTGTCTCAGGCTCTGAATTTTAAAGTGGGGATCATAAGCACACCCATCTCAGACAGCTGTTGGAAGGCTCTAATGCGTTAATACACACCACGGGTTTAGATGGCTGCTGATCAGGAATTTACTCAGAAAGCATTATGATTGTGGAAGTGAGTGACAGGACATTCTTCCCATAAGTTACTGAAAATAAAAAGATTGACATTCAAAACGGAATGACGCTAAGCGGCCCCAGGGGCAGGACACCTAGGCGATAAGGGATTGCTTCAATAAGCTATTTTAGGCCCTGATTCCGGATTTCATGTTGGCATAAAGGTTTGTAGAAGGCCACCTGGGAGGGCACATGGACATTCTTTAAATTGTCAGCTGAGCCCGAGGCGACTGGCAGAGCCACATCAAGGTTACCAGCCGCCAAGAAGGCAGGGGTGGGGGGTATGTTATTCAGTTCTGACTTCCTACCTTTGTCCAGGTGTCGGCAGGGGTGGGTCTAGATATATAAATCCAGAAATGCTAGGTCCTACTTAGGAATGCAAATAGGATCCTTTGATCCTATAAAAATAAATGTGCTGCGTGGAGTCAGGTGTCTCTGTCTCTCCATCAGAGAGAATGGCGTCTCACCTAGCTCCCAGCTTGCTTCTATTTCTGCGTCTTGCTCTCTTTAATTTCTTAATCCCCAGATCCTCCACTCAACAACCAGACTTGTTCCTTTTCCGTGCTGGATGCGGAAAAGAGAGAAACATCACAAAGGTTGATGCCCACACAGAGGAAGAGGAGAGAGCTAAGGAGCAAGTGTAGTTTTGTGCCTGAGGATAAAGAATCAAGACCTTTTTGAGCATTTTCCAAAGTGAGTGTTTTTTAAAACATGTTTTAAGGCAACCTTAAAAAATATACCTAGTTTCAGTGTCAACGCTGAAAGTGTTGTATTGTTAACGAGCAACAGATATTTGTACACTTAAAATCTCAAAATAATAAGTTCTGTTTAAATGGTGAGACACCTCCATCAAAACCTAGTGGTAATTAAAAAATATTTTAAAAATTTATTTCAGAAACGAAGGAAAAGAGAGATAGAAATAACAATGATGAGAGAGAATCACTGATTGGCTGTCTGTCCCCCCCCCCCAGCCCCCCCATGGAGCCTGCAACGTGGGCATGTGCCTTGACCAGGAACTGGTTCACAGGTTGATGCTCAACCACTGAGCCATGCCACCAGGGCCCTAGTGGCAATTTGAATATAGTTCACTTTGGTCTGCAATTT